ATGTTGAAGAGCCTTCTCCGATAACTGGAAATTGGTAATCTCTTGCTGTAATCAGGGAGGGCCGAAGCCCAAGCTCCGCTTTGAAGGTAAGGAAACAGCAGCGACTGAGGCGGCCCAGAAGCTAGCATGTGTCTTTGTAGCAGCCGATTCCAAGTCGAAGGTGAAATGCATTTGGGTCATGTCCCTTCAAAGCATATTCATATTTCCTGAAAAGTTTGAATTTCATTATTAACAGCAACACGTTTTCTGGTAAATTTTGTTGACTATAAAAGGTGCGCAATTCCCACTGTACAGCTCAGTGAGTTTCCCTAAACAGAAGTAACTGTGAACAGCCCAGAAGCCCCCACCGGGCCCCTCCCGCCACCACCCACCTCACCTAGACTTTTAGCACTACAGATTGGCTTTATTCAAATGCCCCCAGGGTCTTTAACAATGGGAGGGCCCAGCGGCCTGTGCCCCTTAGCCCCAGTACAGGGTCACCTGCCGGGTGAAGAAGACACAGCCCAGTGTTGGCCGCGTGACTTGATCTTGCAAGAGAAGCTAGAAGTCTAGATTTTTATGTGAAATCTCATGATTACTGAACATTGGCAACGCATATAAATTTAAAACATGGTGGAGATCAACTCCATCCAGGCCAAACAAAAACTGCGGTGTGCCAAAAGTGGCCCGCAGGCTACCAGTGGGGTGACCTGTAAAGGCCCCCAGGCCTGTGAGGGAGACAGGAGTGAACACAGCCATCACGCCTCCGAGGAGGGGTGGTTGGGGGAGAGGGGTGCTCTGCTGTGCAGTGTGTTTAAATAGCACTTTGAGGGACACGTGAGATGGGCAGAGCCAGGGCACTGGAGGCCGAGGCCGAGGGAGGAAGGCCCTGCGTGAGATGGGGTGGTCAGGACTGCAAAGGGATCCGGTGTGATGGTGGCCGTGGGGGTGTGGGCAGAGGGGCTCGAAGGCGTGGCAGAGCCAGACTGTAGGACCTGGAGCGACGTTCAGAGTTGGTCCGGGGGCAGGCAATGGGGAGCACTTAGAGGAGGGTAAGCAGAGGCATGTTGGGCTGATCTCTGCAGGGGAGGAGAGCGGGGCAGGGGCAGGCTGGGGAACAGCAGAGGCAGGAGGCCCTGGATTATGACATTGGCTAAAGGGAGGGAAACCAGCGCGTGGGCCCACATTTCTGGCCTCTGAAACAAATCCCACCCCACCCACCCCCAACAAAGACTCTTCTCTGCCAAATCTGAGTCAGGCCCTGACTCTTGGTCCACTTGGTCCAGTTTTAGCAAAAATCCCACTGGGTCAGTTTAGTGGGAATCTCTCGCCTGTGAAACCCAGTCAGATTCCTCATCTCCCACTTTATTCATTCATTATTTATTTTGTTAATCCTCACCCGAGGATATTTTTCCATTGATTTTTTTTTTTTTAATCCTCACCCGAGGACATCTTTCCATTTTTTGCACAGATAGAGTGGGAGGGAGAGAGCGGAAGAGAGAGAGAGAGGGAAACATCGACGTGAAAGGGACACATCGAGTGGCTGCCACCCGCACGACCAACCAGGGCCGGGGACAAACTGCAACCGAGGTATATGCCCTTAGCGGGAACCGAACCCGGGTCTCTCAGGACCGCAGGCGGACGCTCCAACCGCTGAGCCAAACCGGCCAGGGCTCCATTGATTTTTTGATAGAGTGAAAGGGAAGGAGGGAGGGAGGGTGGGAGGGAGGGAGAGAGAGAGAGAGAGAGATACATCAATTGGTTGCCTTCTGCACGACCTGGTCAGGGATCGAATCTGCAACCTAGGTATGTGCCCTTGACTGGGAATCAACCCCATGGCCATTCGGTCTGCAGGCCGATGCTCTAACCTACAAGCCAAACGGGCCAAGGCCTCATGTCCCACTTTAAATGTCTGATTCCCTGGGCTGCCATCAGCAAGAGTCCTGGCAGGTGGCTTTAGCCGGAAGCTCCTTACCTAGGGCAAAATTCCATGCAATTACTTTGAATAAAGCCTACTTCCTGTCTCTAACAAGTGTCATGAATAATTTTTCTCTGACATCTGTCTGCACCCAAGGTTCTTCCAACTATATGGATAATCTGAAGATAAAAATACCCTAGGCTAATGAGTCTGGATTTTTTAGTTTGGATACATGGAGTGGCTCCCTCCAGTGGCATAATCTCCAGCCCAGTCCTTGTCCTGGGCTGAGTATAAGGCCCAGCACAAAATCAGCCAGAACGTCCGATCCTCCCTGCACCCCCAGGGCTGCTCCTCCAAGGCCTTCTGTCTCAGCAAAGGACAGCTCTGTCCTTGAAGGAGCTCCTGCCAAACATTTCAAGGTGGTCTGTCACCCGCCAGGCTTGATCTGCCTCTGCTGCCATCACCCCTCTGGTCTGAGCTGCTGGCATTACTTGCCAATCACTCACTAGCCCTTAGCCTGTCTCTATGTCTCCACCCTTCTGACCGTAGCACCTGCAGTGGTACTGTCATGCCCTACGTCAGATCATGTCTCCCTCTGCTCAGAACCTCCCAGGCTTCCACCCCACTAAGTAAATGCCAGAATCCTTGGTAATGGCCATGATCTGTCCCCTCCCCATCACCTCTCCCAGCTCTGTTCTGCTACTCTCCCCCTGCCCACTGATCTCAGTTATCCCCCACCTCAGGGCCTTTGCACTGGTTGCTCCCTCTTCCTGGGAGCTCCTTTCCTGGGATAGCCCCATGGCTTGCTCCCACCCTCCTTCGAGTCTTTGCTCCAATGTCACCTTCTCCGGGAGGTCTCCTTGAAACCTGATTTAAAATCGCAACCTGCTACCTTCACTTCTATTCACCTCCCTACTTCATTTTTCTTCCTGACTTTCAACACCTGCATACTCTACAAAGTTGTTCTTAATGTTGTTTGTGTTCTCTTTTCTCCCCAGTGCCACGCATCCAGTGGGTGGTCAATGAGTAGAAAGGGTCATAGATGGAAATTTCAAATCCTCCTCTGTCTTCCTCTGGGTATTTTTTGAGAGACTGTGGCCCTGGGGCATATTTCACTTGGGCTCTGGACATACAGGGCAGGGCTCCCAGCTTGTGGGTCCTGCCCATGTGTACACCAGCCACTGTCTCAAGCCCACATCTGAGGGATTGGTTTTAAATGTGTACAGATACTCCTATGAAAAATATTGCATGCCTGTTTAAAAGTGTTACTGAATTCCTTATAACTGTTTGGTCATAATATTTCTTCTCTGTCAACTAATACCCTTACCACCATTATTGCATGGAGGTCCTCCTTCTCAAAATAGTTAGGAATGCCTTGCCTAGGGCCAGAAAAGGGACCTAATAAACAAGTCCAGAGACCCCTGGCCACCTTTCATATGGCACCTACCCCCAGGCAGGGTAGCAGCAGCTGACAGGGAGTACAAGCTCACCCACCACAGCAAGACAATTCACAATCCCTTAACCTTGAGTTCTGCAAGCCTGTCACTGCACAAGCTGTGGCTTCTCGGCTTGCGCAGAATTCAAATGGGCTCTTGCAATCAAATGCAATTAATTGCTGCACACCCTGGGCATCCCGGTACCGGGTGCTGCGCAGTGTGGAGGCAGTTCAGGGAACGCGGGCTGCAAGAGCAGAGGTGTGTGTGTGTGTGCGCGCGCGCGCGCGCGGGGGGCAGGGGGGGGGCACTTACAGCTGGGCAATCCCGCTTTACACAAGGGAAGTGAAAAGGCTTGTGCAAGTTTGGTCAACTGTTGTTGGTTCATATGTTAATAAGCAGCATTTATTGAGCGCCTACCATGTACCAAGTACTTTCACATGCATGATCCCATGTCAACCGCAAGAGCCTCCTTTTCACAGATATGACAATTGAGGCTCAAAGAAGTTCAGTGAATTGTTCAAAACCTACTGCTGGTCAAGCCCCAGATTTGCCCGATCCCAAAGTCAGTATTGTTGACCATTTTGTCCCCACCCCAACCCTGGGTTGGGCGCCTCTGTGGGGCATCTGCCTGGTAACTACAACTTTGTGCCTGGCATGGGACCTCCTTGAGTCATGCTACTCCGGGTCTCAGGTGGGGAGGGCCTTCCTGGGGAAGCCCCATTCGTGGACCGTTGGTCTCTTGTGTGGGTGGGTGCACTTCTTTGCCACCCGTCCTGCTCTTCCACGCATGGTGGAGACCCCAGGTGATTGCAGCTTTGTCCTGCCAGAGGAGCCCTTCCTCTTGGTTCACCCAGCTCAAGCCCTCCTGAGCAGTCCCGGGGGAAGCAGAAGCCCCCAGACTCTGCAACACGGAGTTCCTGGTGGGACACCCCTCCTGGGGACAACTCCAGGACCAGCACAAGGCATCCTTCCAGAGGGTCCTGCAGCTCTGGGGCTGGCGGAAACCCAGCAAAGTGCAGCTCAGACACTTTGGGGTCTCCTTCCTAGAGGGGGTCCTGCTGCTCCAATTCCAGGTGGGGAGCCCCAGCAGGCTCTGCCCTTGTTTTCCACCGGCAGCGCCTTTCTGGGCCTTGCAAAGGGTGACCCCTCCCGGCCGGTTTTGTTGCCCCGCGTCCCCCGGAAGAAGCCTCTTCTCCGCGAGCGCCTTGTCTGGCGTTCTCCTCGCTTCCCGGCCCCTCCACTTGGGTGCGGGTCGCTTTCGGGGGCGTCCTTTCTCGCCAGGCCCCCACCCGCGCCCGACGTGGGGCGCTCCCTCTCTCCGCGAGGGCGGGCGCTGGAACAGTGTCGCCAGCCGCCTGCAGGTGTCTCCCCACGGAGGGGCGCGCGTCCCTGCGCCGTGGCCGCTGCCAGGCACCAGCGACTCCTCGCCGAGGTGCACTCACGCTCCGGGCTCCGGGCGCGCCGGAGCCGCTCCGCCGCCGCCGCCCGCTCCCCGCGCCGCGCCCCCACCCCGGAGGGGGGCCATGGGCCCGCGCCGCGCCCGCCGCCGTGGATCGCGAGCGCCCGAGCCCCGGGGCGCGGCGGGCAGCGGCCGCTGACGCGGGGCGCCGGCTGCCAACTTCGCGCGCGGAGCTCCCCGGCGGCGCGGTCCTGGCGGCGCGGGCGGCATGAAGACGAGCCGCCGCGGCCGAGCGCTCGTGGCCGTGGCCCTGAACCTGCTGGCGCTGCTCTTCGCCACCACCGCCTTCCTCACCACGCACTGGTGCCAGGGCACGCAGCGGGTGCCCAAGCCCGGCTGCAGCCAGGGCGGGCGCGCCAACTGCCCCAACTCGGGCGCCAACGCCACGGCCAACGGCACCGCCGCCCCCGCCGCCGCCGGGCACGGCCCCCCTGGCGGCGCGCTCTACAGCTGGGAGACCGGCGACGACCGCTTCCTCTTCAGGAATTTCCACACCGGCATCTGGTACTCGTGCGAGGAGGACCTCGGCGGGCTCGGTGAGTGAGCGGGCGCCCCTGCCGCGGGCCCGGAGGCTCGAGTCCCCGCCGCGCGCCCCGCTCCGGGCGGCCGGGTCCCCGCAGGGCTCGGCCCACGCTCCGTGCGGGAACCCGCGTCGGGCCGACCCGCGGTGAGAGCGTCAGGTGTTCGGACGCTCCTCCGCGGCAAGGCGTGGGGCCGACCCCGAGGCTTCTGAGCGCCGGGAGGCTGGGGGACGGTGCCGCGCCCTAGGGAGGCGCGTCTCCCCGGCACCCACCCCGCTGCAGGTCGCAGGGGCGCGCGTGGCTTTCCGCGCCAGAACTCCGCTCCCTGCTCGCCCCGCCCCCTCTGTCTTTCCGGGGGCGCCGGGTGCCTCCCCCCACCCCGTCCCGCCGGGGGGAGGGGTGCAGGGACTGTGGCTGGAGCCGCCTCTCCCATCGCGGACCTACGGAGCTGGGGCCGAGGGGTCCCGTGCTCCCTCTCCAGCCTGCACCACAGAGCTCCCAGACGGGCTGGGGAAGCAGGGGGGCAGCCTGGCAGCTTCCCGGGGAGAACTGCGTGTCCTGGCACCCGCCCGGAGAGGATGCGGGAGGGAGAGAAGGCAGGTGAGAGAGCGGGACAGCGGGGTGAGGCTTCCGTCCGAATTGGGGTGTGTGTGACTTTCTAGAAGGCAGATCGAACTGCTCCCCTTGCCTCACTCCCCTCGGGGCCGCCAGTGAGGCTGGGCAGGGCTCGGGGGGACTGCCGGGCAGCGCGTGTGCAGGTGCCCGGGGTGGTCCGCGCCACCCGCTGCGCCCAGTCGCAAGTGTAGGGACGCTCTTGAGTGAACTGACCTCTTTCCCCAAGGTTAAAGCTCCTCCTTGCATGCACAGCCCTCCTGTGTGGACATGGCGTTATTGGTGTACTCGGATGTGGATGGGCTGGGGCCCTGACCACTAGTTTGTCCTGCGTAAGCCACTGGCATAGCTGGTTTAAAGGTCAGAGAAAGAAAGTGTAGCTAACGCAAGGAGACCACTCCCTCTGCCTGACTCCCCTTCCCCAGTCTTCCCAGTGTGGCTCCTCCTCAGCTCCACGGGTCTTCTGGCCTGCCTTCCCAGCCCAGGTCCTCCGGAGAGACCTCCCTGGACCTCCCTTTGGAGACAGACACGCCCCATCTTTGTATCTCGCCACAACCTTCGTCTCCCTCATCACACTTAGCACAACTTGAAATTTTCTGGGGCTGCCTTTGGTCACTATCTTCTTGTCCACTGTCCCTTCAGGAGGTCCCACTGGGTAGATGTCTAGTGCATAGTAGTTCTGAAAACCTGTTTGCAGGATAATGTTGGATGAGGCCATGGGATGATGAACGGGAGGTCTCCTGAGGTTCTGCTCTGTCTCGCCTTTGGGGGTGCCCCATTTCTCGATGCTAGCTGTTTGCCAGACACTTGGTGTTTAAATAGGGTCCAACCCCTGACCATTTTCACCCCATCAGACTCACTTCTGGTGTGCACTCAGATCTTGAGTTCTTACCCTGGAATATAATAAAAACTAAACTCAAAAGGCATCCTTACTTTCCACTCAGCTCAACCCTAACCTCTCCTCCGGAGGCCTCGCAGGGCCTCATCCTTGCCTGCCATCTTTGTGGTAGACGTCCCCACACATCCTTCTCCGAGCTCAGGAAGATGTTCCCAAGGTTGGGGAGGCCTGCCCCCTGGACACATCACCTCCACCTCCCACCAAGTTTCTCCTTCACGGAGAATTGCACACGCCTTGCTCCTTCCTTTACATACAACACCATGTCTCCGGCCGCGGGGTTGCCCTGCCCTTGCCTCCAAGGAGTGTCCTGGTCCTTGCTGGCCAGCGGAGCCTCCTAATTGTCTGAGGTCTCTTCCAGCTTCTCCTTGATAGTCACAGTTCAAACTTGTGCAGTCATTTCCCTGTCGCTCATCCGTGTAGCTTATCCTGGAGCTTCACACAGGATATTTAAGCTTGAGCATCTAAAAAAATGATTAATTGAAACACATTTAAAAACAATGTCAGCTTATATTTATTGAGCCTGTACTGTGCCTCAGGCACTGTGAGAACCACTCACTGCTAGATCTTGTTGAATTCTTGCCAGTCCCTCGAGGCGAGCACACCTGCGGTGCCCATTTTTCAGATGAGGCATCTGAGGCTCAGAGAGGTTTCTGGCCTCGCAGCTGTCCCGGGCCTGAATTCTCTTCTTGGGGCAGAACCGAATCCCGGGGAAGTGGTAAGGGAAGAGGATGGTGCAGTTGGGGGCTGGAGAAGAGGGTGATGTGGTGGGTTCAGCATGAGGCCTCCACCCCTAGTCCTCTGATAGTAAAAACGTGGATGGTTAGTTTGTTGGGCAAATAAAACAAATCCACAGTTTGTTCTTTTCTCTTGATCGCTGTTGGCTAGAGATCGCCCCTCCCAGAAAATCACAATTTTCCTTCCTAGGAGTTTGGAAAATAGTTATCAGCCTGTCAGTGCTGGTGAGAAATTTGGAAGGTCTGAGCCAGCTTGGATGGCTTCCCCGGCTGATCCACGGTGCCCAGCCCCTGCGCCTCCACCGCTGTGGTCCTGAAAGGGTGTCAGGAGGTACCTGACCCCAAACTTTTGTTGCTATGACAACCTTTCTTCTGGGTTCTGTGACCATTTTTTAAATGTATTTTTAACTTGAAGAGGGAAAAAATGCCCCCCCAGCAAACCTCCCCAAATCCTGCCCTCACCTCTGACAACACGGAGGGTCAACTTCCTTCCCTCCCGTCCATGAAGCTACAAGGAATTTTACCTTCTCCGGAATGAAAACACCAGCCAGGAAATCCCAGCCTCCCCGTGAGAAGCAGCTGCTAAATGTTCCTTCCTCTCAAACGCCAGTTCGATAATTTCTTTCTGTGCTCAGAAAATACTCTCCCCACTCTGGGCAGCCACAGGGAAATGTAATAAGCCCTTTCCCACACTAAAAACCCACAGCGTTCACACAGAAAACTGCAGCCTGTCCGACACAGACGCAATTTCACCAGACCTGGCACAAAGGAACCTCTTCTCTTCCTCCAAGAAAGAGCATCGACCTCCTCCAACAAGCAGAACGAAGGGAAGTGTGGCCTCCACGCAGGCTGCCCCCGCCCTCGCGACGTTGGGTTTCTGTCGGTGGGATGCTCAGAGGGCTGAGTGGGGGTGCACAGCAGAGTGAGGGCCTCGGCGATGGACAGTGGTGGGGACATGGTGGCCAGTGGGAGCGCAGGTGAGGCTGGACTTGATCCTGAGGAGATGGTGCCTGGGCAGTGGGCGGGGCCAGGGGCCAGGAGAGCTTCTGAGGCGGCTGGAGGGGGGTGGGGTGGGGCAGCCAGAGGGGAGACCCTCACAGGAAGCAGGAGCAGGCTGCTGGGTGTCCTGACTGACTGGACCACTCCCATCCCTGTGACGGGCGCAGCAATGCCCATTCGCTCTAGTGAAGGATGGCATTTTCTCGAGTGTAAGGCCAGGCTCTGCCTGTTTTCCAGCGGTGTGGTTTGTACCCCTGTCCCAGGCTGGGGATCAGTGAAAGAGTGCAGGAGCCTGCCGAGCCCTGCTGGGTGTGTGAGCGGGCCAGACCCCTCCCTGCTGCCCTCCGGAGCCTGTCCTGGGCACTGGGGCTGCCTCCCGGCTTTGGCCATTGCCCCTCAGTCTCCTGCCCACCTGGCACCAGATCCTGCTTTGGGCAGCCCCCTCCAGCAGCCCCTCTTACTCAAAGTCAAAGCCGTGCCCTCAGCCCCTCCCTCGCTGCAGCTTCTCGGGCCTCTGTCTCTGCCCCCACCCCACCCTGTGCTCACTGACTCCTGCCACTCTGTCCCCCAACACCTTTCCTCTGCCTAGAGTGCTCTTCCCCCTAGATGGCCACAAGACTGTTTCTAGAAACTTCTTTAAGTCAGCGCTGAGCTCTCTCCAAGCACTGGAATCAAAATTGATCTCCCTACATGGTTCTGCTTGATTTTTCTTCTAGCACTTGCCACCGTGGACTTTGCCTTCAAGTGCCTCATTTGTTTGGTTTTGGCCGTCAGCTCTGTGGAACCGGGGCTGCTCGGCTGCATTGCCCCTGCTGGCTCCCAGCGCTCCCAGGGGCACACAGTAGGTGCTCGGGCAGCATTCGCCCGAGTGTGGCTTACTGTCACGACAGTTTGTATCCAGTTCTTTCCCTGGCTCTGAGTCCTCTGAGGGCACAGTGAGTCAGGGGGCTGTCCGGGGACTCCTCCCTGTCCACAGGCATTCAGGTGAGTGTCAGGCGGGGCCACTCCCACAGGAGGAGACAACCCCAGGGGCCCCCACATCTTTCCCCCCTCTTCTCAGAAAATCCCAGCTTTTCTGCCCACTCCCTGAAATTTTACTGCTACATTTCCACAAGTGTGGGGACACAAGCGATGCCCACCGGGAGGCTTCTAGCGCTTTGGGGTGGTTGGTGCAATATCGGATGGGCTCTGATGGGCTCCGTGTTAAGAGCGTCTGATGGGTGAAGGTTCCAACTTGGAAAGCGTGGTCCTAAGCCCTCGGCAAGTGTTACCTTCTTCCATCCCCATAACAGCCCTATGAGGTCGGTGCCATTGTTCCGCTCATTTCCCAGCTGAGGAAACTGAGGCCCAGAGAAACCAAGGGACTTGCCTGAGTGGCAGAGCTGGGATGCTCACCCAGGCAGAAGGCTCCAGAGCTCCAGGGTCAGCTGTGCACCCCGCCTTTCCAACCCAAGCCATTCCGGCTCCCCGGCTCCTCCAACAGGCCTCGTTGGGCAGAGCACTCCAGAAGGAGGCCTGGGTCCCAGGTTCGAGTCCAGACTCCAAGGTCAACTTGCTGAGCGACTTCCTCTCTCTCTGGTCTTTTCTTTCCTTGTGTGTAAAATGAGGATTTGGTGGGTTTTTGTGTGGGTGACGGAGGCGGCAGAACACCCATGACCACAGGGATCACAGGGCTCAGACAGCCGAGCCCCAGCCCCCACTCACCTGCTGTGTGGCGTCTGGTGGGGACGTGCCCTCTCTGGGCCTCGGTTTCCCTGGCTGGGAGGAATCTG